GGTAAAGAAATATTTAAATTATTCAATATCTAAGAAAAGCAAGAAAAGAAATCCAGGATGTCTTTATTACCTAATATAACTCTGTCACCAAATTCATTATTTCTACAGTGAAATGGGTAGATTTTCTTTTACCCATAGAAAATACTGAAGCAAAAATAACTTTGTTGAATATAATTTATATTTGATATTCAGAGGAAAATTAAAATTTTTAGGAACAGAAAATTGGAGATCAAAAAGACATTGTATTAGTTGAATTGTTTAATAATTCACAAACATTGTTTTTTTGTCCTGATAATAAAGCCTACTTGTTGTATTTACTTTTGCCTCACAACAAATCCATATGCATAAATAACATGCTATTAATGGCAATATCTAATTATTAATAGAATATTGAATGGGGTAACATCAACACTTTCTCTATTAACAAAACTATAAAGCATAATGGAATAGCTTAACAAAAATTGTGTTTTACTTACATAAGAAAAATGAACAAAGATATTAAGTGAACTAGATTCATCTAGAATCATAAAAAAATCAATTATTTTGAAAAATTCTGTAAAAGAACATTGATGAGAAAGCAGCAGCCCCAGAAACATGCTATGCTGAGGCAAGAGTTTTTGGCATTTGTGGGAGTCGGGAAGGATGCTAGGATACCATGAAGTTTGAAATCTCTCAGGAACAGCCTATTTGCCCAAAGAGGGCTGAAGGCTCTGTATGGATGGGGCAAAGGGGAGAGTTTACAAACTCCACATATGTATATTGGATCTTCATTCCCATCTATATTTTCTTGGGAGAATATAGTCCCATATTTATTTCTGTCTAACTCAGGCTTCTGGCTATGCTCACTCACTCCATCTGTGCTTTCTATTCCCCAGGGTCCATGTCTCATAGCCAATGTGTATACATATGGCCCCCTCAAGGAGACAGACCGCTGAGAGGTTCCCTCTCTAAAGTAACTACCAGGAAGAGTATTTCTATTATGATTAAAAGACATTTGTTTAGAAAAGGATGGAATGAGGGAAAATATTGATGGTCATGTTGTAGATACTATTTAAACTTGTAACATGGTCCAATGATAATCATTAATTAGTTCTGTTTTATGTTGTTTTTGTTACTGCCAATCACAGCCAAGTGATCTAAGGAAACATCGGAGAAAGGTACTGTAAATAACTTTTACATGATTACTGGTTGAATATTGTTTTATCCCTCTAGTTGAAATATTTTATTAACGTAAAAAAGAAATATTGAGATTATGTTAATGTTATTTAATTGTTTAAATAGGATCAAAAGAACAAATACTTAAAAATAAAATTATTTATGCTTTCTAGGGCAATGATTTGATTATGAGAACTAAGTATCCTGATTTTCCACTGAATATTTAAGCCACAGGTAGTAGAAGTAGATATTTTAATATAAATACTTATATTTATTAATACAAATCACAAATATTATAATATTTACCATAATTCTATACTATACTGTATACATTGTTCTATAAATAGAAAAATGCTGATTATTTTTAAATGTTTGCTTTATTATTATTATTATTATCATTTAGATATGGTGAGGCCAACAAATCAGGAGACAACTGTCTAAGAAAAGATACTTTCTTACTCACAGTTCCCTGGAGGAGGGGCACTCCATGCCTCAGGAAAGCACCAGGGTCAGTCAGGAGCAGAATGAACAAGGGGAAAGCATGGGCAGAAGCCTTATGAGGTCTCTTTAGGCAGGGCAAGGCAAGGCAGGGTAATCATTATTAGGTTTAGGATTGATTAAATAATTTCAGCTGGCTCTGGAGTATAGGGACTATCTCTAGTTGTTTCAGCCTGGCCCGGAGGTGATTAGGGCAGGGGAATATTGCCTTCTGAAGTACAAGTGCCAGTTAGAGAAGGTGATTCAGAGTATGGGCTGTTAAGTGATTGGTTTACATATGAAAGGTGTGTTTACAGGGGAGTAGTTTGCTATCTCCAGGAATTAACTATCCCTAGAACAAGTCTCTCCAGATGCCAGAGCATCAAGAATATGGAATGAAATCTAGAGAATAGGATATAGGAAACAAAATGGACTCCCATTCTGATTTACAAAATGGCATTTTATTAGATAATTGAGATAACAGCAGAGCTTGCACTTATGGGATCTCAGATGGAAAAGATTTCAAAGATTTGACCTACTATACAGTGCATAAATCTATTCTTCACCATATTCGAGATGTGGTAGTCAGCCTCTATGTACATGGCTTAGATTGATGGGATTTTCTTTTTCCTTTCCTGAGCTATTATCTATCTTCCTATAGTATCTTCTCCTTAACACTACCAGTTGGTTCTCAACCATCAAATCTACCAAGTATAATGTCCTGATTTTCCTTGATTTCCTCCACTACCAGGACTATACTGGGAATCTAGAATGTAATCTGAGAGGGTGGTGTAAAAGAAGTTTAGTGGGTATAAGAAATAAAAAGGCAAAGCAGGGCACAGTGGCTCACTCCTGTAATCCCAGCTATTCTGGAGGCTGAGGATGGCTAGAGTCCTGGAGTTCAAGGGTAGCCTGGGAAACATAGCAAGACTCCCCCATCTTTAAAACAATAAAATAAAATAAAGAAAAAGGTAGGATGGTAGGTCCTATACAGAAATGTAGCTTTAAAAACTTCAGAGACTGAAGAGGTAACTTGTAAGAAAGGTCATGGAAAGAACTACAAACTAGAAGTTATGTATCAGGGAAAGGAGTTACATACATGATTTTTATTTACATTTCAAAAGAACACATTAAAATAAGCATTACCACTTCTGTTTTATTGATGAGTGTGTTAGTTCATTTTGCATTGCTGTAGAGGAATACCTGAGACTGGGTAATTTATAAAGAAAAGAGGTTTATTTGGCTCACTGTTCTGTAGACTGTACAAATATGGCCTCAGCATCTCTTCTGGTGAGGGCTTCGGGGAACTTGCAATCATAGAAGGCAAAGGGGAAGCAGTCATGTCACATGGTGAGAGAGAAAGAGCACGAGAGAGAGGAGTAGGGACCATTCTCTTTTAAACAAGCAGCTCTATGGTGAACTAATAGGGAGAACTCACTTATTACAGCCTGGGGGTTGGGGTAGGGATAACAAATCCATTCATGGGGGATCTGCCCCCATGACCCAAACACCTCCCACCAGGCCCCACATCCAATACTGGGGATCAAATTTCAACATGAGATTCAGAGGGGCCAAACATCCAAACCATATCAGTGAGGAAATTTAATATTAGAGCAGGTAGGTAACCATCCTATTCATTCAACATTCAGGAGAAACTAGGGTTCAAATCCACTTCCCTTCTTCCTCTTGTTGTTGTGTGTTTTTTTTTTTTTTTTGAGGGATTATTTGTTTATTTGTTTTTGTTTTGAGACAGAGTCTCCTCTGTTGCCTGGCCTAGAGTGCAGTGGTATCACTGTAGCTCACTGCAACTTCAAACTCCCAGGCTGAAGTGATCCTCCTGCTTCAGCCTTTGGAGTGTCTAGGACTGCAGGCTCCTGTCACTATGCCTGGCTACTTTTTTATTTTTATTTATTTTTGTTTGTATTTTTTGCAGGCATAAGGTCTTGCTTTTGCCCAGGCTTTCCATTTTGTTTATATAGTGTGTCATTCAGAGGAAACTTTTGTATATGATGTTTTTAAGAACTGTTATTGGCAAAGAGTATAGATTGGCTGCAGGGAGAACAGAAGGAGGTAATTTATAAGAAGGTGTTTCGGGAGCAAAATTCTGGAAGCAAAAATGGCCATGCATAGCATGGTCACGGTTAGATCCCTCAACTGTGAAAACACCAACATACATTAGAAGAGTTCAGAAAATGCTTAAGAGTTTAAATGGAGTGTGGGTTTAGGAAAGGTTTTCCATAGCATTGGGATTAATCTGAAAGCAGCTCTTAAAAATGATTCTGCTGGTGGCACTATGCTAGTTAATGGAGAAAAGGAGTCGCACTAAAATGCCTACTTAAACTGGTAAGAATAATCTAGACTTGGGTAACAAAAACCCCTGACAAGCAATTTCATTAACTTTCCTCCAATGCATGAGATCTTTTTCATAGATAAACACATTTATGCATGATAGCTTTACATAGAAACAAACATTTTCCCAGAACACAGCTTTTAAATTTTTGCTTGAGCCATACTAAGAACTTTTTTAATGAGAACTTTCCAAACCATGTCTTTTAGCTGTGTTTTCCATGATCTTGATCTCTCTATATACTGTAATATACAATGATGCCATTAAAATTATGCAATACTGTTGTATAAAGATTTTTCTTTTCTTACAGCTCTGTGTCTCTTTCTATCTCTGACAAAATTTATGGTATCCTGAGTTGTTTAGGATTCTGAACTAAATTATTCTTTAAAGAAATCCCTCCCATTCCATCTTCTTTTGCTTTTCTGTATCTTTGCCAATTTTCCCATCACAGTAGTGAAATGAAACAATTTTCAAAAATTATATTCTTACCTTTTATTATTCTCACTTTCAAAAGAAGGTTTTTTCTTATAAAATGCAGCTCATTTTTAAACACCTTGTAATACATTTCATTAGGCTGACTGTTTTACAGAACTTTATCTAATAAAATTATATTTTGTCAACTTCTCTTCTTATTTCGAAAATCCTGACTTAAAAGATGTTTTTGTCCTATAACCTGACTACGCATAATGCTTTATTTTTTAGTGAGTTTGCTGAAATATGCGTTCAATATCTTTTTGTAAAGAAATTACATTCCGATACAATGAAATGGATTCCAGAATAGCTTGTTCATAGTTACTGAATATTGATCTATGGTGTTTATTACTCAAACAATATTTTTGTGTAATGGGTCCATGATTTTTTAATTGTAGTGTCTTCACTTTTAAACACGTGTGACAATCACGCTCCTTAGCACTGACAATTTATATATGTAAGA